GCAAAAGCTGCTAAACGCCTTTGCATGAGCTCATCTGGCCTCTCCACAAAGGGGGAGCCTTTTAGCCGTGTGTCTTATCCAACTGCTGCTCAGCAGCTGGTTTGAATTAGATTCCCTCTGCCAAATATTTCACAATAAAATCTGCAGGAAAAAATTTGCCTAGACTATATTTTTTAATTTCTAACTCAGGATTAGCAATCAAATTCAATATGGTAGAATACCCTATCACCTTCCTCAGTATTCTATCTTGCATGGTTGGAGCATATGCAGAATAATTTTCAAACTTACTTAACTCTTTCTAACATAGCTGATGTTTAATTGTCATGTTGGTTCAGTAGGAACCAACTCAGTAAAGTAATCCTCAAAGTATACATTGTGGGGAACCAGCAGTTAGTGTAATGGCTATGTCGCTGGACTCCCACGTAGTCGACCGCAGTTCACGTCCCGGACCCGGTGGCTTAAAACTCACGCTGGGCGCGTGTGCGTGCGTGCCCAAGATCCTGAGAGGAGAATGGAGGAGAAGGGATTGCGGCGTGACCATCCCTCCTGGGGGGTGATTTCTCGCTTTCTGTCTCTCTGTCTCTCTGTCTGGCGAGCGCACGCGCCCGATAGTAAAAACCTCTCAAAAAAAAAAAAAAAAAAAAGAAAGTATACATTGTGGACCTTCTGTTATTCCCCTTTTGGGGGTCTGTTAGTTCAAAGCTATTTTTTTGTTTTTGTTTTTTTAAAGAATTATTTATTTACTTAATTCCATTTGTAATTATTTTTTAATTTTACCAGATCCAGAAAAGGAAAGGGAGAAAGCAAGCTGCCAGGCCTGGGACCTGAACTGTGGTCAGCCATGTGGGAATCCAGCACCTTTAACCACCACTCCACCTGCCGGTCCCAAAGCTGTTGTCATAGTAATACTAAAATGTTGTTTGCTTTTTTCACTGTGTTGACATTTGCACTGAGGGTAGATAGAGCTGCTAGTGCCATAGTATGAATCCAGGCAGTTGGAAGCAAACTGTATTAGTAGATATTATATCTGTATTCTTACCCACAGACTTGTAGAGGGAAACGCTGCCAGCTTAGCTTCAAAATGTCTTTATTGAAGTAGTGAAAATAATGATTTTTATTTCATCTTGACCCTTGACCATTCATCTTTTGAATATTCGGTGCAGTGAAATGGGAAGTACACAGAGGACTTCTGCTGAAAACTGAAATATGATTGTTGTCTCAGGGAATGGCATGTGTGTGATTAAATTGCTAGCTGAACTGTATTTTTTTTCCTCACTAAACACCATTTTGACTTGTTGGAATAACTGATTGATGAACTGTAGTCAGACTTGCGTATTAGTCGGTCTTTTTCTCCAATATGAGCAAATGAATCTGTCACTTTAAGGAAATCACTGCTCCTCATAAGATTTTAGCTTTCAGGCAGAAATTAGAACTCTGGAAAACTTTCATGTACAGCTGTGAGCTGGACAACTTCCCCGTACTTCTTCTTCTTCTTTTTTTTTTTTTAAATACATGAGAGTGAGTGACCAGGGTTACGGGGTGAAGAGAGAGATAGGTATTTATGTCATTTGGAAAATCCGTATAACTCAGTGAACAAATACTTTCCAAATGACCAATATGTGATGTTTCAAAATCATAAATGGATAAAAAAGATTGATTCAAAGTGCTGGAGAGAGCAGTGGATTTTTTCCCAACTATATTATTTAATTAATTTATTTTATTTTGCTGTAAGGGACCTGCACCCACTCACCAGAGAGACAGAGAGAGAAGAAAAGTGAGAAGGCAAGCCTCCGTGTCTGGGATTCCAACCAGCCAATAGATTTTTTTTAATGTATGGAAGGGTTAGGTCCACAGGTAATATGGTAGTTAGGGTGCTGGACTCTAATGCGGCCAGCACAGTTCGAGTCCCAGACCAGGCAACTTGCTTCCTTTCTCTCTCTCTGAGGACTGTAGTAAGTTTAAAAACAACAATAATAAGTAGAATGGAATGAATAATTATTTTTTAAAGAATTATATATTTTATTTATTTTTTATTTTTGAAATTTTTTTTGCTATAGGGTATATGTGTTCACCATATGACTGAAATGGTATTCAAAAAGTTCACGAAAATGTATATAATGAAAAAACTGTAGGACCAGCCCTGTGAACTGGTAGTTAAGAGAGCTGAATTTCAAAGGGCTAACTGTGGTTCAAGTCCTAGCCTAGTGACTTGAAAAACATACTGGGCATGTATATGTATGTGCCCAAAATCCCAAAAGAGTAAAGAGATGGATGAGAAGGGATTGTAGCATAACCAAGCCACTGAGATGGTTCTCTCTCTCTGTCTCTCTCTCTCTCTCTCTCTCTAGCAAGAGACAGATGTGCCCTCTGTCAGTTAAAAAATTTTAAATTGTGGGACCAACGGATGGTGTAATGGCTGTGTTGTTGGACTCCTATATAGTTGACTGTGGTTCGAGTCCCAGACTCAGTGGCTTAAACTCAAACCAGGCACCTGTGTGTGCATGCCCAAGATCCTGATAAGAGAATGGAGAAGGGATTGGGAAATGGCCATCCCCCCAGGGGGTGATTTCTCACTTTCTGTCTCTCTGCTGCTCTCTGCCTTTCTGGTGAGCACATGTGCCCTATAGCAAAAACCTCCCCCCAAAAATTGTTTTTTAAATTGTAGGGCCATGTGGTGTCACAGTAGTTAAGATGGCTGGATCCCACATGGCCATTGGAGTGATTCCCAGACCTGGTGGCCTAAAAAAACATGCCAGATGTATGTATATACATGCCCTAATCCTGAAAGGAAGGGACATTGAGAAGAAGGGATTGTGACATGCTTTCTCACTTTATCTCCTGTGAGCACATGTGTCTCCTGGCAAAATTTTTTAGAAGCGTGGATTTCAAGGTTTTTTTGCACTAGAATAAACTCATATTATATATATATATATATGTTTTTTGAGAGGTTTTTGCTATAGGGCACGTGCGCTCACCAGACAGACAGAGAGAGACAGAGACAAAAAGCGAGAAATCACCCCCCAGGGGGGATGGCCACGCCACAATCCCTTCTCCTCCATTCTCCTTTCAAGATGCTATGATTGACCTCTAGCCTCAGCAAGTTACTGATTATGAGAACCCATGTGCATGGTGTACTCAGGGAGGTTTCTGAATGTGGACCCAGAACCTTCTCTCATGGGTCATCCTCATGACGTGTCAAGTTTTACCACCTCACCCTCACTCAGTCCCTGGAACTCACATTTTCAAATAAAATAATAGTGGGCCTAGAGGTTAAGACATCCAGATACTACATGGCAGACCATGAGGTTTGAATCCCAACTCTGGCAGCTAGAAAAACATTCCAGACATGTCTGCGTGCCCCAAATCCTGACAGCATGGAGAAATAGAGGGGAAGGGATCATGGTATGACCGCTCTGTTGGGAGGTGTTTTCTCTCCCCTTCTCTACCTGCTTCTCTGGTGAGCCCACTTACCTTATGACCAAAATAAAATAATGATCATACATTTTAAAAAATGTAGTGGAGGGGCCAACAGAAAGCATATTGGTTATGTCAACGGACTCCCATATAGTTAACCACGGTTCTAGTATCAGACCTGGCAGCCTAAACTAACGCTGGGTAGATGTGCATACATGCCGTAAAGTCCTAAGAGGAGAATGGAGGAGAAGGGATTGTGGTGTGGCCATCCTGCTGGGGAATGACTTCACACTTTCTGTTTCGGGCAATCACAAGCCTTATAGCAAAAATCTCCCTCTTTTTTGGTAAAGAATTATTTTTTATTTTAACTTTGTTTATTTTAATTTGACCAGAGAAAGAGAGAGAGAGTGAGAAAGCAAGCCACCCGGTCCAGAATTCGAGCCCCAGTCGGCCATGTGGGAGTCCAGCGCCCTTAAACACCACCTACTGACCCCAGCAAAAATCTCTCTCAAAAAAAAAAAAAATGTAGTGGAATTAAAAAATGGTAATATCACATTTCAAAGGAAAGGGCGTCATGAGTAGTATCTGAAGAGTAAGGAAAGTTTCAGAGTTTAGGAAATTGGTTTTCCTTAGCTATTTACTTTTGGAATGGAAATTATCTCATTATAAAACTTTCATTCTCATTCTAATGTTCACAGCCTCAGAGGATTTTAGAACAGTTTGGGCTAGCAAAGTCCCCAGGCACAACATTTATCAGAAGCTCTGCCTTAGTCAAGCAGGAATTAGACAAATAAAGACATGTATGTGTATTTGTAAGCAGCTGCTATTAGTTCCTGGCTTCAAGGTCATAGCCATGGTTCATCCAGTCCAGTATTCTATCTGACTATGACACCAGGTGTCATTCAAACACTGTGACTATGTTTTTTTTGTTTTGTTTTTGCTATAGGGCATGTGTGCTCGCCAGAAAGACAGAGAGAGACAGAGAGACAGAAAGAGAGAAATCAGCACATGGGAGTCCAGCACCATAGCCATTACGCTAACTACTGGTCCCTGATTGTGGTTTTTTAGAAAAAAATGTTCTCATGCACTAGCCAGAGAGAAAGAGGTGAAAGAGAGAGAACGTGAGAAAGCATCCCCACAGGGGATGGCCACGCCTCAATCCCTTTTAATACAATCCCTTCCATTTTCCTCTAGAGATTTTGAACACATGTGTACATGTGCCTAGCATGCTTTTCGAACTGCACAGTCAGACATGTGGAATCCAGCTGCCCCAAACCACCATGCCGGTCCTATAATCGTGCTTTTTTTGTTGTTGTTAAAGAATTATTTTATTTAACTTATTTTAATTTGACCAGAGAGGGACAGAGAGAGAGAAAGTGAGAAAGCAAGCCACCAGGTCTGGGACTCAACCATGGTTGGCCATGTGGGGGTCCAGCGCCCTTAGCCACCACACCACCTGCCAGCCTCTAATTGTGCTTTTTAATGTACTTAATCTATGATTTCTGTTTATTAATGAACCTAAATTCCTGCCATTTTCCCCTGATATCACAATAATTACTTTTGATTTCTGCTCTGTTGTGGTTTAGGTTGGTACATTCTGGCTCCGGATGTCGGTCGCCCTCACTTGGATCTGACCTGACGTTTGCTACAAGGACAGGCTCTCGGCAGGGCATTGAGATGCATCTCTTCAGGGTGGAAACACATCGGGATCTGTCAACCTGGACCAGGATACTTGTTCAGGGTTGTCATGCTGCTGCTGAGCTGATCAAGGAAGTCTCTCTAGGTAGAGATTCTGACCTTTCATTTTGAATAGCCATTAAATGGCACTTTTGTGCTGTAACATATGCTAACATGGCAGCTCAGAGTGGTGACAATGGAAGGAAGCCTGGTTTTTCTTGCACAAAGTTCCTAAACCTACTACATGGCTTTAACCACATTCATAACATCCTGCATACAATATAGCATTGTTACTGTTCATCAATTTTTATAAAAAAAATTTTTTTAAAGAATTATTTTATTGGAACCAGCAGTTAGAGTAATGGCTATGTCGCTGAACTCCCATGTAGCCGACTGCTGTTCAAGTCCTGGACCTGATGGCTTAAACTCACACCAGGCGTGCAGGCGTGTGTGTGCGTGCCCAGGATCCTGAGAGGAGAATGGAGGAGAAGGGATTGTGGCGTGGCCATCCCCCCTGGGGGGTGATTTCTCACTTTCTGTCTCTCTGTCTCTCTCTGTCTGTCTGGAGAGCACACGTGCCCTATAGCAAAAACCTCTCCCCCCGAAAAAAAAAAATTATTATTTTATTTATTTATTTACTTATTTATTTTAATTTGACCAGAGAGGGGCAGAGTGAGAGAGAGCAAGAAAGAGAAAGTTTGAAAGCAAGCCATCAGGTCCAGAAAGAACCAACCACCACACCACCTGCCAGTCCCTACTATTTATCATTTTAATTTGAGTTTATAAGGACTCATTTTTATTTACTGAGTAATAGGTGCATTGACTATAGTTAAGATTTAAAATCTAAGTTAGGGAAAAACACCCTTAAAATTATGAGCATATGACAAGCTTATGGCTTGCTGCCACTAAAGGATATAGAAAAAAAAAAAAGGATTTATAACAAATCTTCAAAATCTTGAAAATGTGTGTTCAATACTGAACTCAAATAAGCACGTCAAGGAAATAATGAGCTTATGGTCTCTTTCCGTTGTGAAAGCGCCCTCTTGTGGCTAGCCTATAAATTTGGGTTATCATTTATGTGTGCACGTGCGTGTGTGCGTGCGTTCATGTGTGTATGTATACGTATAGATGTTTCCAAATTACTTTTCATTTAACAAGAATAAGTTTTTTAAGTGAAGCCACAATTACAGTTTCTAATATGGTTTGATTTACCTTGATTGTCTTGGTTACAGATTTGTTTGATTTTGATCCTTTATTTTCTGTGTATTTTATCTAATAAACCTAGTTTTATAAAATACACATAAAAATAGAAAATATTTCAAGAGCAGCAACTCCTGTGAATTATCTTTGTGTGGCTTTGGAAGATGAGGGATCTCCATGGCTGTAGAAATACAAGAGTTTCTGCTAGTTTTTTCTTTCCTTTTTATTTTTTTTAAGAATTATTTTATTGAACTTTATTATTTATTTATTTATTTATTTTAATTTGAGAGAGAGAGAGAAAGTGAGAAAGCAAGCTGCCATGGGCTCAAACCACAGTCAGCCATAGGGGAGTCCACCGCCCTTAACTACCATGCCACCTGCGGCCCGTCTACTGCTTATTTCTAACTGATGTTTACTTCTTTTTTTATATATAATTATTTTATTGAAGTTTATTTATTTATTTTAATTTGACCAGAGAGGGACAGAGTGAGAGTCAAGAGTGTGTCTGTGTGTGTGTGTGGCGGGGGGTGCTGAGAAAGTAAGCCGCTAGGTCCAGGATTTGTACCGTGGTAGGCCATTTGGGAGTCCAGTGCCCTTAACCACCATGCCACCTGCCGGTCCTGCTGTTTACGTCTAGTACAGGCACAGAGACAGATTTTATTTTTTTTAAGTCTTTGCTATTCGGCACTTGCACTCACCAGAAAGAGATAGAGAAAGTAAGAAATCACCCTTCTGGGGGGTGGCCATGCCACAGTCCGTTCTCCTCCATTTTCCTCCTGGAATTTTGGGCACCCATGCATATATGCCCAGCATGATTATCAGGCCACCAGGTCTGGGACTGGGACTGCGCAGTCAGCCACATGGGATCCAGTCATCTTAACCTCTGTGCGACCTGCTGGCCCCTACTTATTCTTAATGTTATAAAGCTGACAAAAGTCTTTAGTTATTCAGGACCCAGTGGGTATTTTCCTCACAAGCACAATGAACTAGCAAGCAGTGATGCTGATGACTGTCAAGATCCTACCGTGGATGGCAGTCAAGCTACCATGTCCACACTGTCTTTCTCAGTTTCATGACTTTCCCCATTATCTCTATAGTGTGTTTGGTATTAGGGCTGTGGGACTCTAGTTTTTGTCGTGACCACTGATTGTGTTTTCCAGGATGGGCGAATCCTCCCTGTGAAGGTCTGTGGTGCTCTGTGCTCCTGTGGGCAGTCAAGGATGGGCCAGCATGCTCATCAGGCTCTTCACCAGCACCTGTGGTCACCAGGCCCAGTAATTTAGATACGATGGCCTGAGGAGATGGAGAATGAGGGCTGTCGGGTTCCTTATATTTATAGATAAACAAAAGAAATATATTTTTTGGTAATTTTAAACTTTTTTTTCTCATTTACAGCTGTATTCTATTATTACCTTAGTAATAATTTTCATTTCCACAGTTCATCTAATATACTATATTAAGCCCTGATGGCTTGAAATTCAACACCGGGTACACATATGTGTGTGTGCCCAAAATCCCAGGAAAAGAATGGAGAAGAAGGAATTGCAGTGTGGCCATCTCCCTTGGGAGGTGATTTCTCACTTTCCCTCTCACTGCCTTTCACGATTTCATGTGCCCTATGGCAAAAGTCTAAAAAAAGAAGAAAAAAAGAGAAAGTTGTCTTATTAAGAATAATTAGAGGGACTAGCAGATGGTGTAATGGCTACATTGCAGGATTCCCATGTAGTCGATGGTTTGAGTCCCGGACCCGGTGGCTTAAACTCACACCGGACGCATGTGCATACGTGCCCAAGATCCTAAAAGGAGAACGGAGGAGAAGGGATTGCGGCGTGGCCATCCACCCTGGGGGGTTGATTTACTCACTTTCTGTCTCTCTGTCTCTCTCTTACTTTCTGGCAAGCGCATGCGCCCTATAGCAAAAACCTCTCCCCAAAAGAAGAATAATTAGAAAAATGGGGCTGGCAGGTGGTGTGGTGGTTAAGGGCGCTGGACTTCCACATGGCTGACTGCAGTTTGAATCCCGGTCCTGGCTGCTTGCTTTCTCACTTTCCCTCTCTCTTTCTCCCTTTCACTCACTCTCTCTCTCTGTCCCTCACTGGTCAAATTAAAATAAAATAAATGAATAAATAAATTAAGTTAAAATAATTATTTTTAAAAAAGAATAATTAGAAAAATAAAAATAATTAAGATGTACTTCATGACTTTGACCAAATGGCAATAAGAGAAGAACACAGTATCACGTTCTTCTTTGTAACCTGTCATGATTAGCCCATTGATTATATATGATGGGCTAGCTCTTTCTATGTGCAGTCACTGAATGGTGCCCCAGCTTTTCTCTGAGGCAGTCCTGGGCATTCAGGTCAGGTCACATCTATAAGATCTCCATTCCAGATTATCCTGCAAAGTCCAGAGGAGTCCTGGGCAACACACATATATGAGCCTCCCTATGGCTGCTGCAAAGATGGGCCAGGAGGCTTGCTGGAAACACTGAAACCCTCCTCCCCCTGCCCCGTAGCCCTCCTACTAAGGAAATGGTCACAGCAGAAACAGGATTTTCCCCATAGAACCTTTTTCATAAGGTCTTTGTCCTTCATGATACAGAAATAATCACCAGCAGTCTCTTCATTGGAGAGATACAAAGTAGATAACATAGGTTTTATTTATCAGTGTGTACCTTGTAAACATTTATTAGTGATTTATTAGTGAGCCTTTTCCCTCCTAGCTTTATTAAATTTTGTTACTATTAGCTTCTTAGAAAGCTGTCTTGGGAACCAGCAGTTAGCATAATGGCTATGTCGCTGGACTCCCACGTAGTCAACCGCGGTTCGCGTCCCGGACCCGGTTGCTTAAAACTCAAGCCGGGCGCATGTGCATGTGTGCCCAAGATCCCGATAGGAGAATGGAGGAGAAGGGACTGCGGCGTGACCATCCCCCTGGGGGGTGATTTCTCGCTTTCTGTCTCTATGTCTCTCTCTGTCTGTCTGGCGAGCGCACATGCCCTATAGCGAAAAACCTCTCAAAAAAAAAAAAAGAAAGCTGTCTTTTAGGGGACAGCAGATGGCATGGTGGTTAAGGTGCTTGACTCCTACATGGCCGACCATGGCTCAAATCCTGGACCTGATGGCTTGAAATGCAACGTTGGGTGCACGTGCATGCGTGTGTGCCCAAAATTCCAGGAAGAGAATGGAGAAGAAGGGATTGCAGTGTGGCCATCTCCCTTAGGAGGTGATTTCTCACTTTCGCTCTCACTGCCTTTCACAATTGCATGTGCCCTATGGCAAAAGTCTAAAAAAAAGAAGAAAAGAGAAAGTTGTCTTTTAATGTATGTTATTACACTCACCAACGTCCCCACTGTATGAAAAAGCCAATGGCAGGGCCAGCAGGTGGTGTGATGGTAAGGGTACTGGACTCCCACATGGTTGACCGTGGTTCGAGTCCCAGAGCTGGCGGCTTGCTTTCTATCTCTCTCTTTTTCACTCTGTCCCTCTCTGACCACATTTAAATAAATAAATAAATAAAGTTAAATAAAATCATTCTTTTTTTAAAAAAATCTGAATTAAAAAAAAGAAAAGCCAATGTCCCCTCCATTTAAGAGTTTGAAAAGTAGTAGCTAGAGCAATTTAAAAAAAAAAATAGGGTTGGTGGGAATGGAAAGTTTCATGGAAGCCAAAAAAGAAGAGTATTTCAGGAAAGGAATGTTTAGTAAGGTTAAATGTCTCATTGGCATGGTTTAAGCGGATGCCTATTAAAACTAAATTTGAGGGAACCAGTAGCATAATGGCTATGTCACTGGACTCCCACGTGGTCGACCACGGTTCATGTCCCGGACCCGGTGGCTTAGAACTCACGTAGGGCATGTGTGCGTGCGTTCCCAAGATCCGAAGAGGAGAATGGAGGAGAAGGGAT